TTTATCAGTAGCTACAGTGGCAATGGGGAAAGCACACAAGCCCATCTCTGTTTCGGGTAAGGGTCTCTACCTATCCAAGGGACTTGTCATAAACATGGAAGTTTTTAAATGAATGAAAACAACCATGCAGAATGGCCTGATGAAGGCCATGCTCCACGAGACACACAATTTTGTAAGAGTTGTGAGAAAAATGGCAGAGGGAATTAGCTTGCTGAAGCCCCTGAGAACTTAGAGAATCCTGGAGGAGATTGGGGGAGGGGGGTTTCCCCCCTTCCTGTGATTCTTCACTGGCCTCCTAGCTTATCATTATCTAATGTGAGTGGCTCTCACACCAACTACAAAAACAGCAAAACCAGACAAGATAGGGCTCTTGGAGGACTGCTTGGGGAGGCTGAAAAATATGGCTTTGCAAATTAACCAAAGGAGGACAATAGAAAACCACCCATTGTGCTTGGTGAGGAGGACTCCATTATCTCCAGAAGAAATGAACACTGACAGCAGTTAAGTGTGGCCGTGGGTTTGCCTTCCATAAGAAGTGACATTTATGTGGCATGTTAGGAAGTCATAAGACCAGAAAATAACCTTAGTCTCAGTTCCTCTACTAAAGCAAGGCCCTTCAAACATAGGGGTTTACTAGTTTGGCTTAATTTTTTAAAAAATTGTTTTTTAAACAAATTCTTGGAGCCTGTGTGCTCCTCCTCTTCTGTTTGAGGCCTACAAGGGAAAAAATAGTAGTTCCATCCCTCTGAGCTGCAAGGGTATTGTATTGCCTTCCTCCTCAATTAGGGATGCCAGCCTCCAGGTGGGACCTGGGGATCCACTGGAATTACAGCTGATCTACAGAATACAGAGATAGTTCTCTTGAAGAAAATGGGTGTTTTGGAGGGTGGACTCTATGGCATTGTACCTCACCGAGGTCCCTGTCCTCCCCAGGCTCCATCCCCAACTCTCCAGGAGTTTCACAACTTGGACCTGGCAACCTTATGTCCTCATGTATTAAATGCAGATGTGCTATCATACCATTGTAACTGAAAAGAGACTCATGCAAGGGCTGAGCTATGGTTAGAACCCACAGAAAGATTCAACACTATAAACATTTGATGGTGTGGTTTGTTTGTTTTTTGCCAGTTTTACTGTCATGGCTTCCTCCACAGGGCATGGAATCATGGGATGAGAAGTCTGGTGAGAATGCTGCAAATTCTTTTCTCGGCCCCTCTAAAAGTGCTACTGTTTTTTGTCTTTAAACCTGTAGTCAGAGGTCATTTCGGGGGGGGGGGAACGTGGGGGAACGCAGTTCCCCCAGGTGAGGTGCAGGGGGCGGGGCACATGACGAAGCCCCGCCCCCTGCTTCCGGCTGCCCCGCTTCCAGCCCTCATTCAGCCAGGAGGAGGCAGGAGAAGAGGGAGGGTAAGTTGCTTCCTCCCCGCCTCTCCCCACCCCTGCCTGCCTGGGGCCAGGGAGGGCCTTGGCGGGGCTTCCTCGCACTCCCGCTGGCCTTGCAGGTCCACCGCCGGGCCCCTGATGTCAGGGGGTGTGGCATATGCTAATGAGTTATGCTAATGAGTTCCCCTAGCTCTTTTTCTACGAAATGGCCCCTGCCTGTAGTGCAGATATGTCCTCAGACTGACTATGCAGATAGGGTGCCCATGCAGGCATAGCATCAGTAGTGCATAGCAATGCATCTACAGTTTGTATCACCTATCACAACTGGTCTCACCCACAATAATGTACTGTTTTGGGGTCTTTTACTACCTGGCCCTGCCCAGCAAATAAATCAGGTGGATTTCCAAAATCAAACTGGATTTCCAAAATTAAACTGGGAACTAAGTATACGTTATTTTTTATCTTTGTTCCCACAGTTGCATTCAAACCCTACCATGAAACTCAAAGCCATATTTCATTAATGGTAGACAAGTCAGGAGGCATGGATACCAGCCCATCTTTAAAAGGAATTCCACCTCTCCCCCTTTTAAAGCCACAAGGTTTTGTTTTTGGTGTACCACCAATTTAAGGAGTCACCGTTATGCCCATGCAGACCCACATTGTTATTCCTTCAATGCATTTCCTGGCTTGCATCAGTGCAAAAGATAAGAACAGCTTTGCTGGGCCAGAACAACAGTTCACCTAGTCCCAATACTCTGCCTTCAGTAGGGGTCAGGCAGATGATGCCTAGGAAGCTCACCAGTAGAGAATAAATGAATAAACCCTTCCCCTGTTGATTGTCCCCGTCCCCACCATCTGGCAATCTGAAGATTACACCCTCTCATCATGAGCTAGCTGCTACGGAATCTTGCCTTCTCAGGCAAGAGCAATTGCTGATGGGCCCAGAGGAACCAAAACCAGCCAGCACAGCAAGTCAAAGGCCCTGTTTTCTGGAAGAAGGCTGAAGAACAGTCCCTTAGGGTACAGTTCGGTTTGTGGTTATTCAGCAACCTTTATTTTATTTTTAGTGTTCTTGTGGCACTCTAGCTAAATAAGCAGAAAACCTTTTTGTCATTCTTGTGGTTTTCTAAACAATGTTGTTACTAGTTAAGAGAAGCGGGGTAAGTTTTGCAAAAACTCCACTACTAAATGAAACCAATGTTCCATGTAACTGCACAGCTATACTGCATATTAATTAAACTTCCATTATGTTGGGGGGGGGGGAGAGTTGATTTCTCCAAGGACAGCAGCTGGAGGCCTAATTCCAAATATACTTTCCAACTGGAATTTTCATTTTTATCTGTTAAGAAGCAGGGCCTTGTGTGTTTGTGTGTGTGTTTAATCTGGATGCACTGCTGTGGACTATATACAGTCACAAAGTCTAAGTAACTCACCTTTGGGTTAGCCCATCCTGTACTTTGGATTACCTTCTCTGACTAAATGATGTTGCATTGTATGGAGACTCAACAAACACAAAATGGTGACACTTATAACAAGGAACAGATGTATAAAGATTAAAACAAAACCACAGGACAGCATATTGGCAGCATATACAGGTCATACAAGTAATACAGAGGAAAATTACAGTAGGGATCAACCAGTACGTAGGATAGTAAACAAGAGGAATATAATATGATAAGGAGAACATTCACAAATCACTGGTCATAGCACCAAATGCCTATTTTATAAAATACACAGTTAAATCATAGGTATTAATATTTATTATTTATACAGTGCCATTTTTGTGCATGGCTATTAACAGACAACCCAAATGATGAACAACTTCCTACCCCCAAGGGACCCCACAATTTAGAATAGGCTTGGAAGGAATGGATTTGAATTGAGGATCAGTAAAGAAACATCCTATTGTTTCTATGTACTCTGCTTCATAAGAACTCAAAATACCTGTGCTGCCTTCCACAGCTTTTAAGTGTCTTCCTCTGGCTTTCAACAGGCAAGATAATGCACATACAGTGAATTTTGCTTCTGCTTTTATTCTTTCTTGACTATTTCATTCCCATATGTAATAAAAAACACAAGTCAAAAGTATATAGTTTTGCTTTTTGTGTATGGAAAATATAACAGTCAGAATTTTCCCACCATCACCCCCATTAAAGAGAAAGAGAGAGAGAGAGATAGGCCAAGAGGAACTGTTATGAATTGAAATTTATAGGACTTAAAAGTTAGACACTGAAATATTGCTTAAAAGACTAATGGGATATCATGTACATCTCTCTCTTCCAAAAATATTATTTTCTTCTGCATTGAAATTAACTGCAAAGTACATTATGTTTGTGGCATATGATCATAGTTTAATTCTGGATTTTTATCAAATCTCAGAC